ATAAGTCGACAGAAACTGCGCATGGCAAATGTGTTGGTGTGACACTGGCCATGCAGGGACTACGACATGCGGATGTTCAGCAGTAGTAGCAGTAGCAGTAGCAGTGGCAGTGGCAGTGGCAGTAGCAGTAGGAGCAGCGGCAGCAGCAGTGGTGATGGTGGTACTACTCCTTCTACTCCTGCTACTGCTGCTGCTGCTGCGCGCAATCGTGGTGCTACACTGAGAGGCTTCCCCTCTATAATGCTGTCCTATTCAAACCGTAAACCCCAAATGCGCCAGGGGAGCTCGGCGTGCAAGCGCCCGTGGGCTTTTGGGACCCTCTTGGGCTGTCGGCAGATGGGGACGCCTGGGGGCCCAGGGGGTTTTAGTCTGAATGAAGGAGTGACAGCAATTCGATGTGTTATTCCTTCGGGTTTCTGAATCTATATTCCCCAAAATCCTAGTCGAATTATCGCTTGCTTAGAGGACCTGTCGCAGACACAAATCGGGGTTCTGCAGTTTGGAGGTAGCAAGGGGAGATTTCGTAGCAAGGGAGCCAGCGTTCAGGCTGCAACTTTCCGCTTTGAATGACCGATGCGGCCTGGTTGGAAGCCCGGAACGAACACTGAGACGTCGCCGTAGTCGTACTGGCAATCGTCGCGATGGTGCTGGTGCTGGTAGTAATGAGTATTAAGACTATTGATGAATACATGGTATGTTGAGAGGTCGACACCTTCAAGCGCCGCAGGGCAGCCGAGCTGAAGCATGGCCGGATCTGCGCGAAGCCCAGCCGTGGGAGGGCGGGAACGGAGACAGATTTTATTTGGGGTTCGAGTGTTTAAGGTTTTAGGGGTTTTACGGATTTCTTGCTGAAATACGGCATGTACGCTTGAAGATTAAAGAGTTAGTGTTTGGGAGCAAGGAGGACGATATTATCCTGAAATGCCAAGACAAAGCGAGAAGACTGCTTCCACAGGAATTGCGACATTGCTTGAGTCGCCCAAAGAGAGATTATGCTGTGATGCAGCTGATAGCAGCTGCTGTGCTACATCTTGCAAGGAAGAAGCTGTAGAACTTAAACGGTAGTCAATTGCATCTAAACTCGCTGTTTCGATGGCTTTGTGGCATGCGCAGTTTCCCTGCTGGCAACCGCTTTTGAGGTATGTTGGCCTGCGTTGCTTGCTCGCACCTTCAGCGGATATATGTCTGCATTGTTGGAATGCTCCATGCATCCTCGTCACACTCCTTCTGGAGCGACGCTGAAGGTCGGATACATCGTGCCGGAGTACTTCCGCTGGCCCGGTTTCCTTTCACCAGAGAAGGGTCTCAAGTTCGCTGACATGCCTCACGGCATCGCAGCCGTCTCCAAGGCCGAGCTTCGAGCGAGCAGGAGAGTCTTGTCTTTTTCATCGTCTGGGGTGTGGTCGTGGTCATAGACGCCATAGCCACAGTTCATTAAGATACAGGTAGTACGTTGTGCATCTGGACCGTTTAGCACATGGCAGTTCGAGCGTGACAAAACTTACGTGACTGCAAACATCGGAGTTCGGGTGATCAGAAACTACAAATCTTCTCGTATACGAGGGCGTCTGTGCGTGCGCAGTACCAATTTCTATTGCATGCCGCTCGTTGCTTGCTTCTCCGCAACCTTCTCCGACATGCATACAGTGTGAAGGTTACTCCCCAAAACACACACAGCCGTCAAATCTGAGACGGCAGGTACCCCTGGAGGGCTGGCTGCAGATCGTCCTGTTCGTCGGCCACTACGAGGGCTACTTCTGGCGCCAGGATCCCAAGCGCGCCCCGGGTGACTACGAAGGCTGCGGGGACCCCTGCCGCGCAAACCCTCCTTGGGAGTATGATCGTTTTTGTTTTGATCATGAGTATGACTGTTCTCGTCGTTGTCCTTGTCAGCAACTTTGCTTTCATGACTTTCTCTGCGACTATTCACATCGTTGCCGTCATGGTTTAACTATCCATGCCGCATCATCATCACGATTTCACACATTACGCATACGTCGTCTTCGTCGCAAGAGAGCCACGGGGAAGGGTTGAAGCACGCTTCACGTAAAACTCGAATCCCGTAAACCGTAAACCACAAACCCCAAAGCTCAGACCCCCGCCGCCTAAAAAACAAGAAACTAAACCTTGCTAGCTCTGAAGAGGCTATGGCTTCCTGGGTGTGGGCAAGAACTTCATCGTCAATGTCGACCCCATCGAGTTCCAGGACGCCGAGGCAATAGAGTTCAGGGCTTCGGCGCTTGGGGGGGTTTTAAGCGTTTTAGGTTTTAGTGTGTTGGTGTTTTACCAGTTTTGATTCAAGGGTCTGATCAGGGTTTGTAGTTTGCAATTTCCATCCTTGGATGTGAGGCTATGTTGCTCGAAGCTAGTTGCAGCCACCATAGACTGGAGCATTGTGCCATCCCGATGTGGCAGGTGAAGAAAACCAAGCTTTCCGCCGAGATTGCAAATGGACGATTGGCAGCTGGACTCCACCTTTCTGAAGTAATGCGCTGTGTTGAGAGTAGTTTGAGACGGTGAAGCCCTAGATTCTAGATCCGTGTACACCCATCTGCTGAGCAACATGGCCCTCTGCAAAACACCCACAGGGGCGACGGCTCTTATTTGAGACAGAGTGCACCGCCTTTATTATATACAAGAAGCATGCCTCATGATGCTAGTATCAACAAGGCTAGCAAAATTACAACCGTTCATGATCACGGCCTTGAGAATCATAGTAATAATGATGGCCACGATCTGTTGCAGTAAAGCAATGGAGTATAAACACAGTACAACAGGACAGTATACTGCAAAACCCCGGCATATTTTTTTGAAGACCTAGTTTAGGTCAGGGCCCCTGCCTACTCGCAGCTCCCAGGCCCCGAGCCTGCCCCAGGAAGGAACACTGAGGGTTTAGGGTTTAGGGTTTCACCCAAACCATAAGACGTATAGCAGGAGAAAGAGAAGCAGGGCTCAGCAGGATTACAAAAAAAAACGGCACAAGCAACTCACCAGAAGCAAGCGCAACTTGACCAATCCTCGTACGATCCAATCTGCCGGAAAGCCGACAAGCTGAAGGAGGCTCCGGACTTGGACTCAGCGCTTTTTTTTGTTATATATATATATAATATTATGGTAATATATTATTATGCAATTGTTATATTATATATTATAATAATTGGACCAGAAGTAGAGGCATAAGATGAAGCACAGTTGACGGTGCAGCATTGGCACAGAACCGGAATCGGATTGATGAAAGAAGCACCAGAAAAGCACAAGACAACCGCAATGGCCAGCGTGACAACCAAGTGTTGAATATGTTGGTGTCGGATTGCTCAGCAACAGCTTCGCTGGTTCAGTGTGTTGCCTCTGACCCCACCCCCTCCCACCGAAATCAACAGAGTCTGGTTGTTCAGGCCTCTTTCTTACCACCGCCCTGAAACCCGAAACCCCAAGCCCTTTATCCACTACAGGCGATGGTGGCCCTGATGGCAATGCTTTTTCAGAACGGCACTGTGGGCTCCACCGGCCCTGCTTCTTGGAGCTTTTCATGTTCTGTGATTCTTTACGGCGTTAGTTTAGGGGCTTGTATGGTTTTGAGGTTTAGGGTCAGTTTCGTCAGATGACTGAGATGATAATGAGCTAGGGTTCAGGTTTAGGGCAGTGCAAAGCTTCGGAACAGCCGGAGCCAGCGGCCCGCCATATGTAGGATTCTACTCCTGGCGTCCTTGCCCCTGCTATGCTGGTTTTGCGCCCTCGGAGTGCTTATGTCCTCCCCCGGAGTGGGGTGGATCGGCTCGGAATAAACATAATAGACAGTCTTCCCATACAATGCCTACACGGCTAAGATATCTAATATACCTCAACACCCTAGTCGGGCCTGTGTTACGTGAAATGGCAGGGAAACTTGTGCGTGCCCGGAGAACTGTGGGTTGTTTGCTCGGCCCAGGGGGTCGGGTTTTGTACGGTCTTTACATGGTTTAGGGCTTAACGTAACTTTCTTTGTTCAGGTTTCCTCAATTGTTTCCATCATGGGTTCGCACAGGGGTTTCTGTAAGAGTTCCCTCACAAAAAGCATGTTCCGAATGTCTGGACTGTGAAACAGTGCGGGGACGCTGGCACAAGGATGCAGGTTTCAGGTGCAAGACTTCAATACAAGCCGAATTAAAAACTTGCAAATATTTTTTCCTTGGGGTTCTTCATTTTATAGTGATGCCATAACAAGTTCCCAGAGCCTTATTCTGCTGATTAAGGCCCCCCCCCCCGGCGCCCCCATATTGGACGCTGAGTTCGAGCCGTAGTTTCAGGTTGCTAGGTGTCCGGCAGAGCCTGAAGTTGCTTCGGTTTTGCTGTTATAGTAACCCGTATACTAGGTTCCCGAGGTACCTTTTTGCCCTTTTATTTGGGGGTCTCCATATTAAATCCGAAGATTAGGAAAGAGGGTACCCTTAGTATTCGGGGGTTACTGGGAAACCTAGTATAGTCACCCCTTGTAGTGAGCTGTATCGTTGAACCCCTGACCGAGGCCATGTGGCTGCCCGCAGCATGAGTTGCCTGAGCCCGGACGTTTGGAGGTAGACGCCCAGCCTCTCCTGACATTCCTGGGGCAGAAAAAGGATGATCGCATCTTTCTCAGAAGCTTTGCAGTGCAAGTTATGGCAAGCAGAGGTTGAAGGGTAGCACGTCGAAGTGCACAGCACGTGGGAGAAGGATACCTGCCAATATCACTCCTCAGGGTTCCTGGTTTTTTAACTGTTATAGCTATCTTATACTAAACTCACATCCCCATTTTGATTACTAGAGACCGTCAACAGAACATGCCCGAGGTCGGATCCAACTCCGAATGTTCGCATTTGACGATTGATGCTTGTTGTGCTTGTTTCAGTGTTGAGGGTTAGCAGCAGCGGTGGTGCCGGCAGAGGGTGGCGGTTCTTCTGTCTTAGAAAAATAGGATAATGAGAGCCCCTAATCCCTCCAGGATGGAGGCGCGGTGTGCCGAGGCCACGGAATCCTGCAGGGCCACCTAAGCACTTAACCCCCAAGCACTCATAGAAAACCCGATGCGTTCCTCCTCGGCAGCCGCGGCTCAAGAGGAGCCAGGAGGTCAGGAGGTGGAGCCCGAAGAAAAGGACCTTCCGAAGACACCATGGCGGACGCCAAGCTGCAGTTGCGCAGGATTTCTGGGAGACTTCCTTGGTTGCCGTTGAATTGAGCGGGGGTTTCCAGCCCAGGGCTCTCTTGCAGGGCCTTTCCCCCCAGAGGGTCCCTCGGGTACCAAACTGCTCAATACAAGCTCCTTGTTGTATCTGTCTGCCGCCGTGCTGCAGCTTAGCCTGGAGAGCGCAACACTCCTTAGCTCCGAAATGCTTCCTTACAACATAACATGAAGAATCCTTCTGTAGGCCGAGCTTCAATTTTCCTTTGAGGCCAAGCCCCTGACAGTGGTTGCGGCAGCGGCTTCGGCCGCTTGGCTGTGCAGCGAGGCCTTCGTGCCCGGCGTGCAGCTGAACCGAGAGGCTCAGGCGCGAGTCTCGTGACTCTTCTAGTAATCCTTATAGTAATCCTTGCTCTCGAAGCATAGAGAACCCCGACAAGTACAGTATCCCCCCTGCAAGCCCGAAGCTTGATCTGGCCACTCGGTGCTCCACGCGCGCTCCAGCTTCGCCGCAGGCCCCCGCGTCCCACCTCCGCAGCGGTGCCCGCGCCTCCCGGGCCACGGGCTCCAGCCTCTCCAGCACCGCGGGCGCCGCGCTGCTGGTGGCGGGCGCCTGCGCCGCCCGCAGCCGCAAGGTCTCCACCTCCACGGCCGCCGGGC